CCAACACCTACGGTTATGATTCCACTATTCTGGAAATCTAGCGGGGTCCGACATCAAGTGCTCCATTCTGATGAAGAAATATTTGTGCCAAAACTTGCGGCTCTCCCGGTCGTCCGTTCCAACCACCAGCCCCCTGGTCCCACGATGTCACAGGTGTATCATGGTGCCCCTATGAAAACTCAGGGAAAATAAATGTAAAAGGTGGTGAATGCCAACTTCACACCCAGCCAACTCTGCATACTTCGTCAGCAATAGAAAGATTTTATACGTATACGGAGATAATTGTGTCGGGCAGACTTCGTAGAATCGATAGAATTCCTCCGCCAACAGAAGAAGAGGGAAGGTATGACCGATCACAAAAGGATACGCGTAGAAAGCACAATATCTCGGTCTATGGACCTCCATGAGGTCCCTCCCAGCCAGAACCATCTCGACGTGAGGAGGAATATTGTACGAAGACCGAAGTTCATTTATGTGAGCCGACCCGGTTTCAGAGACCACCTGAATGGGGGAAGGGGCAGGTTCCTTGTAGAAATCTTTCCTGGACATAAGGTTTCTTGGGAGTATCTCCTCTACGGTGGGGAAACTATCCCTCTCTTCAACCGCTATATCCTCGTCGCCGGAAAGAGGGGCCATGGATAACAGAGTGGCGCGGAAACTTCTTCGTGTGTTCTGTGTGTTCTGGGCATCTTGGCAATAGAGGGTGTGTTGGAAAAACTTAAAGTGAGGAACGATGACTGAACGGAAAAGATGAGGAGCAAAACCACGCAAACTGAGCTAAAGAACTAAGGAACATAATCAATAGTGGAAATGTGTATATAAAGAAATGGCTAAAAGTTTATGAAGAAACAAAACCTTCACCTATTTATAGGATTGGATAGCGCGAGAATCGAAACAAAAGACTGCTAATGGCGCTAAAACCAAAGCGACAAGCAATCAGACGCTGTCTCGGAAAGGTGTGTAATGATAACGCGCGTGGGAGTGACGTGCCAAGGTTCCGTGGAACGTATCACTCTCTCGGCCTTAGCCAAACCGACGTAATTCCACAGCCAAATTCTTTAGCAGAAACGGATGATGTCCGCTTATCAAGGACATGCAGGGCCATGACCTCAACAAGTAGAGGGACTAACTATATGAGTCCAAATTTGGCAACCAAAATAGCAGACAAGCAAGACATGAAACGAGGTCACCACAACACAACGACTGATGGTCGTCGTGACGAAGGACGACGACCAAGAGCGGTCAGTCAAAATAAGATAGTAACGATAGTTTTAATTTAAAAAGAGATAGGAAGAATATGTCTTTTGGATACTCTCTATATTGTACTTTTTAGGATTTTTTGGGAAAATGTCCCTTGTAAATAGGAAGAGTTAATAAATAAGAATGGGTTGCCATTCTTCAAAGAGAGAAACACATTGTAAAAACAGAGAAATATACGAAAGAATTATCTTATTGGTTTTACTCAAGCATATGTTGTTTAACCTTTGTCCATAAATCTGAAGATTCCGCATTCATATCTGTTGTATACATTTTCGCATCATCAGAAAGAGGAGGTGCTCAATCACACAATAATGGGTGACAATCCCTTTATACTATAACTCTTGTCATTTCTTGCATTTATTGCACTTTTAAGATATTATATATTTTGCCAACCATACTGTATTGCACATATTACTTAACACCCCTATACTGTTCTCACCATATCAAAATCTCGTTCTATTTGATCTAGAGATTATTAAGTTCAACTGAGATTCACCCTATTAATTTGTTACTAATTAGTTTAGCATTTATTTGCTCAAACAATTTTGTCATAGGCGGATACAAGATTTAAACCCTATGGTTTTAACTTTTAAGGTTTTTAGCATTGAACCCATTATATTTTTAAAGTTATGGGTTAATATATATTATTTTTGTAATTTTAATAAATTCTTACCCACAATTTTTTTTTTTGCGTCGAAAGTTATGTGTTCAATTGAACCGATTGGTAGGACATTATATTCGCCTCCGATTCTTGCAGAAGCAATAGCTAAGATTTTTGAGAGTAAAGAAGGGGGCTTTTGAGAAAGAAGGGGGGGGGGGGGGCTTTAAAA